TAATGACACTGCTGACGTAAGTTGTGGAACAGTGTGGGAGGCTCTCAAAGCCTATGTTCGTGGGCAGGTTATATCGTATGTTTCCAAACTAAGAAAGGATGAAAGGGTTCGGCTGTCGGCAATTTTGGAAGAACTTCTCCGAATTGATGAAATGTATTCCTCCTCCCCCTCACCGACCTTATATAAAAAACGCATATTATTACATTTGGAACATGACCTTTTAATGACGAGCGTAGTGGAGAGACAACTGAGGCAAACTAAGCAGCGCTTTTCTGAACAGGGGGACAAGGCTGGGCGGCTTCTGGCTCAACAGGCAGTTAACGCCTCCAGATTAATCCCCAAAGTAAAGTCGCCCGAAGGCAATTTAGTCTCTGACCCGATTGAAAAAAACAAGTCTTTCTTTGAATTTTATAATCATTTGTACACTTCTGAATGCCCCACAATTGGCACAATAAACCCAAATCCTCTTGACTCCTTAACTTTCCCCCAAATTGATGTAGTTAACGTAGGCGGAATGGGGGACCCCATTTCCACTTTAGAGATACAGGAAGCCATCAAATCTATGCAAAATGGGAAATCCCCTGGTCCGGACGGCTTCACAGTCGAATTCTACAAGGCGCATTCGTTTCTTTTGGCCCCAATTCTAGCAAGGATGTATAATGATTCCCTTAAAGAAGGCAGATTACCTCAAACCCTGTCCATGGCATCCATCTCTCTACTATTGAAGAAGGATAAAGATCCTACTCTTTGTGGCAGCTACAGACCAATTTCCCTCCTAAATGTTGATTGTAAAATACTGGCTAAGATTTTGTCCCTCCGCCTCCAACTCGTGATACCTTCTATAGTTCCGCTTGACCAAACAGGCTTTATGATAGGGAGACACTCTTTCTTCAATACCAGGAGGCTACTTAATGTTATTTTCTCGCCCCCGTCCAATGTCCCCGAAGTCATAGTTTCACTCGATGCGGAAAAGCTTTTGATAGGGTAGAGTGGAGCTACTTGTTCTTCATTTTAGAAAAATGTGGCTTTGACTCCAAATTTATTTCTTGGATTAAACTTTTATACGCCTCCCCTTCTGCATCGGTAAACACAAATGGCATTCAATTGTCTGCCTTCCCTCTCCAACGTGGGACACGCCAGGGCTGCCCGCTTTCTCCCCTATTGTTTAATTTAGCCATTGGGGGTGTCCATCACCAGCTCCTTTAAAGATCTGTTTCCCAAAAATTTTCAACCACTCTTAGCTAAATGCAAATCGGATCTATCTAGGTGGTCTTCCCTTCCCTTATCCCTTGTTGGCCGTGTCAATCTTATTAAAATGGTAATTCTGCCGAAGTTCTTATATCTCTTCCAGAATATCCCAATTTGCATCAATAAATCTTTTTTCACCAGTCTTGACAGTCAACTAAATGCGTTTATTTGGGATGACAAACCCGCCCGTCTTAAAAAATCTATTCTTCAGCTCCCCAAGTCAGAGGGCAGCTTGGCACTCCCGAACTTCCGTCACTACTACTGGGCCTCTAATATTAACCGACTCCTTTACTGGACTGGCCCCAAGACTCCTAACTCCAGCCCACCATGGGTTCACATGGAGATCTCCTCCTCCTCTAGCTCTTTACACTCTTTGATTTGCTCCCAACTTCCCGTAATGACGCACAAAATCTCAGTCAACCCAATTGTTACCAGTACTATTAAGATTTGGCTTCAATTCAGAAGGCAACATGGTGTTGTGCGTAGACGGCTCTGCTAAGATTGTTCCCTAGTTTAGGTTTCATGTTATGTGTTTAGATAGGTTCCTGTTTTATTTTGATAGTCTTGTCTACCCTCATGTGTCGAAAGTACGTTTCCTGCCTTGTCTGTTTTCCCACGGTTGTGATTGTCTAATTGTCTTCACCTGGTGTTGTCTGTCTAGTATATATAGTTCTCGTCTTCCCCTGTCTCGTTGCCAGATTGTCTTGTGTGTTCCAAGCCTTTCAGCGTAAGATCCTTTTGTCATTGTCCACAGAGTTATCGTCCATAGAGTTAGATTAGTGTATTAGTAGTTTTTGTTTTGTTGCTTTATGTATTCAGTGTGTTATGACCTGTCTACATTAAAACACTTTATTTTGATACTTTGTTTGTCTCTGCATCGTGCATTTGATTCCACGCCCTTGTACAGCCCTAACATATGGCTTACACAGAGCCTCAATCCAAGCTCCGATTCTAAATAATCACTCATTCTCTCCATCCTGCTCGGACCCCACCTTCCGAATGTGGGCTGCCAACGGGCTTGTCACAATCAGTACTTTACAAGGATGGGGTTTTCTCTGACTTTGCATCCTTGTCAGCCAAATATCACCTGCCAAACAGTCATCCTTTCCGCTTCTTCCAAATTAGCCATTTTGCTCAAAAGCAATTTCCCCATTTTCCCAACCGCCCCCCTGAGTCAGGAATTGACCAGTTTCTCACCCTTGATTGTGACCAAAAAAGGCTGGTATCTACTATTTATGGGAAACTTGCCTCCTTTGACCTAGCCTCTACTACATCTATAAAAGAGTCCTGGGAGGGTGAGATGGGTGTATACATATCTGACAGTAAGTGGAGGGACATTCTTCGTTTGGTGCAAATCTCATCTATCTGTGCTAGGCACGGTCTAATGCAGTGTAAGGTGCTCCACAGGGCTCACCAATGCTAAACTAGCCAACATATTTCCTCTTAGAAGCGATGCCTGTAACAGATGCAAGCAATCTCCTGCCAATCATTACATTACATTACATTACATTACATTGCATTTAGCTGACACTTTTGTCCAAAGCGACTTACAATAAGTACATTCGACCAGGAAGACACAACCTTGAAGAAAACAGAATCATATAAGTACATCATGTTTCATAGAACCAAACATTTCAAGTGCTACTCAACTGGCTTTAAGTAAGCCAGTCCTTTATTAGTATAAAAGTGCTTCGTTAATAGTTCTAACGCTCGAAGTGGAGTCACACACATATCACACGCATATGTTTTGGTCATGCCCCAGCCTGAATGCCTTCTGGTCTAGTATTTTCAAAACCCTTGAGCAGGCCCTTAACACACCCATACCCCGTAACCCTCTAACTGCCTTGTTCGGCGTCCCCCCAACACAGAACATGCCCACCACGACCCAGCGTGTCATCGCCTTCACAACCCTGCTGGCCAGGCGTTCCATTCTTCTTAAGTGGAAGCACGTCTCCCCACTCACACATGACAGGTGGATACAGGAACTATTACAGGGTATTAATCTCGAAAAGATACGATTTTCACTACAAGGATCCCTGACACTCTTTCATAAGACCTGGACTCCCTTACTACTGCTAATCAATGACCTTACAATCAACCCTGATGCTGATGAGGTGTGAGTGAACCCGGTGGGGGGGGAGGAGAGACCTTCACTTCCCCCTTTCCTTATCTCCCTAATACATTGACCATTACTTTTTTTGTCTTCTCCGTTTCCTCATGTAACTTGCAGTACCGTTATTTCCCTGGTATTTATTTTTACTGACTATTAACATGAAGAAGCATCCATATTTGTATGTAATCTTCAGTTATTGGTCTTTGTATTTCATATAATTTCTACCCCTCTTTTCCTTTTTTTCTTTCTTTTTTGATGCTGGCGTTTTATGTTTTGTAACTTTTTGATTTATGTCTTGTTTATAATGTGATCATAGCCCATATGGGTGAGGGTGGGGGGTGGGAGGGAGGGGTGAGGTAACTATTTAATTTTCCTACAGACCATCTTCTATACATGTGTACCTACTGTATTGCCATTGTGATGTCTGTCAAAAAGCCAATAAAAAGATTTTGAAAAAAAAACAAAACAAAAAAAAACAATAATCGTGGCTTGATATTGAGTAAGAACATGTTTTTATGAACCCCACAGCTTCCGTTCTTCTAAGGCCCGACCGGACAAAAAGACGTGCTGCAGGCACGAAACATACTACCAATAGAAATACATTGCTTTTAAAATTGTTCTGTGTGACACGAAAAAAAGGTGAAAATCAAGTTGGTGAACACGAATCAATAGATTAAATGTCGTGACTATAACACGAAATGCCGTGAGACTGGGTTGCGTTAGGTAGTCATTTGTTAGGATTCACTGTTTTTAAGACACATAGAAGCTTAATGCTGGAAAAGCGGTGAAAGGGCCTTCTGCTGGCATTGCAGTTGTTTCTCTATAGAGAGAGTGGGGCCGATTAGGAGAAAACGCTACCCGACAGCTACGCTGAAAGTTCCAACGATTTCAACTTTGACCTAGTTATTTTTCAACACTCAACCAATCAATCTGATAACAGCTATATGTAGCGGTGCAAGCTAGCAGATGAGCTAATATAGAAACTAAACCTATCAAGCTGTTTTCACTGAAAGGCCCAGCCTCACGGTCTCGCAGAGAGCAAATCACGTATCATGTGAATGCAGCTTCAGACATTCACCAGTGGGTATTTACTGACATGTTTTATGCTGTGGAACAAGACTTTAAAATCTCTTCTGCTTGTGTTAACCAAAAGCCTTATTTCAGGCATCTAACCACAAAAAACAAAAGATAAAAGTTCTTAAGGTTTGAAATCAAAGTTTTAGGAATATTTCGCAAACCCCAGCAGCTGCCATGTTTGGTATTTCATCCAACAGTAAACCTAAAGGTCTACCTCTCTCTGTGTAACAGTGCACCGGACTCAGGGACACTTCTGTCCCACAGGCTATAAGACTGCTAAACTCCTGAGCACTGAAGTGCCTTTATAACTTTATGCACTCATTTGCATTACACATATTCATTTAATATGACTTAATTCATTTCATATTACAATAAACTGTATTCCTTTACAGCATTTACTTTTAGATTAGATGTATATATAGTTTACTTCTTACGCATTTATCGGCACATTGGTAACTTGCAACATGGAACTTAGGGTTTTCATTGCCATAACTACACTGTAGCTACTCTGCATATGACAATATTTTAATCTTGAACAGAAATGTCCATTGTAATCCTTCACCGAGGGGCCGGGGTAGGGGCTGAGGGTGCAGCCTTCCCTCCAGGAGAGGTTGAGGCTGCGGATGAACTCCAGGTAGAAAGGGTGAGTGCTGTTCAGCATGGAGAAGCCCAGGATGTTGGACTGGTCGTCCACCACGTCATCCAGCCGCAGCAGAGGGAAGTCCTGAGGACAAAGAGGAAACAGGAGAGGAACAATGAGCTGCAACTTCAGTCTGTTTTATATTTTTCATGTGTGCAATTTGGAGTTTTGAGATACCATAACCCTTTGAGATCACAGGGAGAAGAACGTCTCAGAAGGTGAAGGGTGAAAGAAAAGACCAAGGAACATGAAGACAGAAAACAACAAAAGGCTTGATTGGGGTTTGCTTTTGTAGCCAGCACAACGTTATTTTTTAAATTCAGAGCAGGATTACTGCAAGAGAAAAAAGTTTTTAAAAAAAGATGGACTGCAGACTTCAAATATTTCCTGAAGGCGAGTGGGTGCACGCTGAGCACTGATGTTGAAACAAATCAGAATCAAAGTGCTGCTTGGCCCTTTGAGGGTTTGTGAAACATATGCTGTCAATGAAACATTCAGCTTCAACTGTGTAGAGAAGCAGGTGCTGCAACATACATATCCACCACGGAGCCATTCATATAAGTTACATTGGGATTTTAGCCTTTGCAGACCATTTACATGCACAAAAACCTAAAGAACATACACAGGAAAGGGAAAACCCCAAAAGAAGATTGATGACTATGATTGTTCACATTTAGTTAATGGTTATAGACAGTTGGTTTTACATCACATTCTAACACCATTCATACACACACTCACACACTGAGGGCGGGGCTGCCATTCAAACTGCTCATAATCTATTCCAATGCTTATTCACAGAAAGGCAAACCGATGGATTTGCCTTTGGGAGCATTTGGGGTTTAGTCCATGCAGGCAGGCCCGCCCCTCCCTACACGCAGATCACGCAGATTGCGTGGGGCCTCATCTTGCGGAGGGGGCCTCATCTAATGCGCAAATGCGGCGCAATTAATCGAATGCACAAATGATGCACTCCGCAGTTACCCGGCTGCGAGGCTCCGGGGAACTAACAGTTCACGAGCACACCCACAATTCAATTCAGAATTCACCCATCCACCAGTCATACATGCTGCCATATAAGGTGCACCTGCTCAGAAAGGAAACATTCACACACACTCACACACTGATGGCCATCAGGAGCAGTTAAGTGGAAAGTATCTTACTCAAGAAAACTTCAACATTTCGAGTTCAGGAGCTGGGGGTTGAACCACTGACCCTCCCCTTGGTGGACAACCGCTCCACCACTTTCATCTGTGATATGCACCGGTGAAGATGGCCGCATTGTCTTTGGCTCTCTCCAACTCTGCTCTTTTTTCGTATTTTGTTTGTGTTTATTCAACACACTCTCACTCCCTAAGCGTCCAGGAGCGACGCTTGGTCAGGGTGTCCGTGGCGTGCAGTTGTGACGCGCTGAGGCTCCTTCAGCTTCATAAACGGACGCAAAGAGCTTTCAACTGATTGCAATGTATTCCCATCGGTGGCGGTATTTGACACTCAGGGAAGCACCGCACCCGTTTATGTCGGCAGCTCTTAAAGGCAATGTGAGCGTCCATTCCCATTGGATAACGGATAATTGTACACCCGGAAGTAAGTATTCTCCTTACTGTCGATTGATTTGACAGTGATATCTGTACTACTCATCAACTCAAAAACACCAGATTATCTTTCTTAATTAAACGACATTGATAGGTTTAAATTGTGTACAATGCTTTTGTGCATAGGCGGCGCGTGAGGCTCAGGTTTGGGAAGGCTAAATAACTTTTTTTACCTGACGCTGCCCGCCTCCGGCGTCTATAGAAAAGAGATCAACTCAGTGTGCGGAGTTTAAATCTCTCAAGTCATATTACAGGATAAAGGAAATACAGTTTAAACTGCCGTATGCAGAGAAGACGCCGACGTGTCGCACTTATCATTCATATCACATCATCAATCAGATCATCGATCATATAATATCATAATATATCATATATCTCCTTATCTGAGTCAGCTGAGCCGTATCTGGCCGTGCAACACTCACAGTGTCACATACTGTATGCAGAAGTATTATTTTAAGCAACACATTATGTTGACGAAACACTCGAGTCAAATGTAATTAAAGTCAGATCCACTCGTGTCTTAGACGGGGCAGTGATATCATAAAACTGTTGTATGCTTTCAAACACTCGGTAGTTTATTTTTTAACGAGTTGTTCTGTATTCTCCTTGCAGGTGCAACTCTGTGGCTTGTATCCTGGATTATATGTTTAAGTCATCATGGATGTTTAAAGTTGATATTTGTCTAATATTAGTTTACTTTTCATTAATGAAGTATGATGTTGCGCTGTCAGTACACTTGTCCCTGTTTGTGATTGGTCAAATGTAGCTAACCCCGCCCCTTTCACATGAACGCGCTCTCAGCTGGAGAGAGAAACCCTGGCTTGATTTACCGAGTTGATAACCAGCGCCGTAGGACCGCTCAGCGAGATCGCGTTTGTTAGTTTGTTGTAGTTAGTTTGTTTGTTACTCAAACATATCCAGGGTCTGTTGAACTGGCTTCGTAGTACAGGGCACAGGTGGCTAGCAGCGCTAATGTCAAAGACACAGACATTATACATTATATTTGTATTTTACCAGGATGCAGTGACACACATATTTGGGAAGGCTTAGCCTTCCCTAGCCTACAGTACCCGCCGCCCCTGCTTTTGTGTTTTTCCCCTTCAATGCTGAGAAACAACTTGTTTTCTCTGAAATGTGGAGCGCCAAAGAGACTGCACTACCCACAATCCCCAGCTATTGTTGTGCCGACGCCTGTCCGCTTTGCGACAAACCCCGTGATTAATCTTCATTGGATGTTGGAGTGGTAGTGCGCCAAGGTTACGCCGAGCGTCAAGCTCTTTGAAATGGAACGAAACCACGGCAGACTATTCAAAACTGGACTCGAACGCCCCCCGAGAAATACACATGCTGGCTATTGTGTTTCGCAATGTTCTCTATGGCACGTCTCTACTGGGAAATGTAGTTTTAAAAGACGTTTTCGTTTTTCCCACAATAAGAAGTTGACAGTATTAAACTGTGTACAGCCCTGGAGGTTTAGGCGATAGGAAACACATTGGTGTGTACACATTTAAAACATGTAATTACTAAATGGGTGAAAATCGCTTGTGTCCATAATGGGCAGCATTATTATATACCCACATGACAGCTCATTGTTACTTTGTAATTCTACTCCACTACAATTCAGAGGTTAACCTGGTATTTGTACTCCACTACATTTATTTTAGTTACTTTGCAGATTCTGATTAATGATGTGAAATATAAACAACCCTTAAAGCAGACTTTAGTTACACCTGAGTAAAATTCAGGGAAGGTGATTGTCAAGTGCCAACAATCAGGAGAGATATTTGATAGTTGGTGCTTGAGAAGACTAAACATTTATCTGCAGATCTCTATAAAGTATATTCATTACTCGTTATTCTCTACTAATAGTTCATTAAAGACTGTATATTATGGCTATTTTGCACATCCCTTTCAAGATTTCAAGATTTTCAAAGGTGTATTGACATATCATATACACAACTACGGTGTAGTTATGCAATGAATGAAAAACTTGGGTCACAGGTTCCTCAACAGTGCATTACAAGACATCTATCAATATGTGTGCATACCTCCACCATTAAACTGTCATGTTCTGCACATTCTTATTCTATCTACATACATAAGAGTATAATTCATATGTATAAACTATTATTTTCTGCCTCGCTCATGAGAGTAACAGCTGGCGAAATTACAGCCTTGCCTACTGATTTTAATTTAACCATATATCGAGCCCGATTGTCGATTTCAAATGTGTGCTCTAAAATGATATTTATAAATGACTATTATCATTATTATAAGCAAGACAATAAATGGCAAAGATATGTAGAAAATAAACGTATTTAAGATACGTGCATAACAAACGTAACGTGGGAGAAAATACGTTTATAGCTAAACGTAATTGAGAATGCAGTTTAGTTCTGTGGGAACGTAATTTTTAGGAGACAGGGTTGGATTTTTTTTGTATCAATTTATGTTTCATCCAATCACAGAGCTTGTTGACTTATCACAAGGTTTGTCAAAGCGGACAGGCGTCAATAATAGCTGGGGATTGTGGGTAGTGTAGTCTCTTTGGCACTCCACATTTCAGAGAAAACAAGTTGTTTCTCAGAATTGAAGGGGAAAAACACAAAAGCATTGCACACAATTTAAACCTACCAATGTCGTTTAATTAACAAAGATAATATGGTGTTTTTGAGTTGATGAGTAGTGCAGATATCACTGTCAAATCAATCGACAGTAAGGAGAATACTTACTTCCGGGTGTACAATTCTCCGTTATCCAATGGGAATGGACGCTCACATTGCCTTTAAGAGCTGCCGACATAAACGGATGCGGTGCTTCCCTGAGCGTCAAATATCGCCGCCGATGGGAATACATTGCAATCAGTTGAAAGCTCTTTGCGTCCGTTTATGAAGCTGAAGGAGCCTCGGCGCGTCACAACTGCACGCCACGGTCACCCCGACCAAGCGTCGCTCCTGGACGCTTAGGGAGTGAGAGTGTGTTGGTTTATTTACTTTTTGTCTTTGCTTTAAACATGGTTCGCAACATGCAAGCTGAACGCACCAACTCTGTTATACAATATAGCAGAGAGGAACTTCTTTACATCCGAAACTCCGTGGAAAATAACCCACGACAGACAATGGGGATACCTGAGAGACGCAAAAACAGGACCAAAAGAGGGTGCCGGGCCGGGCTGCTGGTCAGACTGAGGAAACGAGAAAACCGACCCCCTCTTCCGAGTATTCTTCTGGCTAATGTTCAATCCATTAAAAATAAACTAGATTAACTCAGAAGTCGGTCATCTGCTACATTGGTAAATGCATCGATGACGTGGTACAGAAGGTTTCTGTATGAACATTCCCAAATCAAAAGCCCTGGATAAACGGCGAGGTTCGTACCAAGCTGTATCAATCCAAGTATCAATCTAAATATGATCTCTGGAGAGCAATTAGCAGCGCAAAGAGACAGTACAAAGAGAAGGTGGAGTCTGACTTCAAAGGCTGTAACACCCTA